AGCTGACTCTGCCCTGAGTCCACCCAAGCCAACCCTGATCAGGGGCTCCCTGCACAGTTCAGGGACTGCCTGGCGGGGCTGCCCAGCAGGGCTCTGTCCTGCAGTCAGTGAAGGACCAAGAAGCAGTCTTTCAGAAGGGACCAGAGACAGCCAGGCCTGACTCCTGTGGTCACTCCTCAGAGTGAGAGCTATAGGGTTCAGAAGGGGTCAGGGAGACAGGGTCACCTGGGGGGCAGAATTCTCTGAAAGAACACAGGGTATCAGGCAATCAGGGCCATCTGGGCAGGGGTCAGAGCCTAGAGGAGCAGAGTTCAGGGGTAGGGGCTGTCCTGGGATGTTCCCCAAATGGCATCAGGGCATTGAGTAAGTGTAGGCCCTGGGGTGCTGAACTAAGAGGCAATGGGGTATGGGGTTGCAGAGTCCAGCAGCCATGGATAGAAGGAAGGGAAGTCTGGATGGGTGCACAAGGCTCTGAGAATGGATGAACAGGTGTGGGGAAGACCCCAGCATGTGGGCAGGAGTCATGAGATGGACACGTGGCCGGGCATATAAGGGATGTTTGGGGTTCCTATGTCCAGAGCAGTGATAAAGTGSACTGGGGAAGGGGTGTGTCCACAGCTGACAAGGCTCTGGGTCTGGAGGCTGATAAAGACTGAAGGAATCCTGAGGCCCATGTTCTGGGTACTCCCCAAGGTAGAGAAGAACCCGTCTCCAGGGGCTGAGAGCATTAAGAGCATTCTGACCCCATATGTGGGAGTTGACAAAGTCTGAGGAAACCCTGGACAGAGCCCTGGGTCACCCAAACTCTGTCCCTTGAATTGATCTGACAGCCCAGATCACTGCAACCCCTGTGGCCGGGCTGTAGGACCCAGGTCACCCCAACCTTGACTACTGCATTTTGGACTGACTGTGCCGGATCATTCCACCCCTGAGTCATATGCTGCTGGGACCCAGGCCATCCTGACTTCTGTGTCCTAGCCCCCAGGTCACCCTGACCGCTGTATCCTGGGCTATTGGGCCCCAGATCACCCTGACACCTGTGTCCTGGGCTTGATGGACTCCCAGTTCACCGTGATACTGCGACCTGGGCTGATGGGGTTCAGATCACTCTCACACCTGTGCCCTGGYCCCTGCATCCTGGGCTGATGGCCCTGGCCACCTTGATGGGGTCCAGGTCACACAAGCCCTGCATCCTCGCTGAACGACAGTCTAGGCCCCCCTGGGCCCAACGTCCTGGGCTGATGGCTCTGGCCACCCCACTCACCTCTGGCGCTGCCCGTCCAGGGCGAGGCCGGCGGGCGCCGTCGTGGGGCTGAGCAGGCCCTGGGGCGCAGGCCGGGCGGGCAGCCCTGGGAGGCCGGCAGGCGGCGCGGGCGGCGGCGCGGGCGGCTCGCGGGCCTCGGCGGGCGGCGGCGGCGGGGGCGGCGGCTTCTCGCCGCCAGGGCCCAGGCTCGGGGGCCTTCCGTCCAGGGAGATGTTGTTGAGGAAGAAGAGCGCGGCCTGGCGGCGCCGCGAGTCCCCTCGTCTCCGAGGCGCGGGCGGCGGGTTGCGGGTGGCGGGCGCGGGCCTGGCGGGGCCGGGGGCCGGGCCCGGGGCTCCTCCCGCCGCGGCCGCGGCCATGCTCGAGTGCGCGCCGCCGCGCGCTGCGCGCCGCCCATTGGCCGCGGCGCGCCCACTTGCAAATGTTTCACCGTTGCGCCGGCCCATTGGCTGCGGCGCGCCCACATGCAAATAACTGGCCATTGCGCTCGCCTATTGGCTAGAGTGGCGTCGTGGGCGGGCGCCACGCCGCAGCGCTCCYGGGTGCTAGAGCTAATTTGGGCGCGTGGCCGGGGAGCTGGGAGCCGCGCGCAGGGGCCGCGCGTTGGGCGGCCTGAGAAGCCCCGGGTTCGAGACCTTGCCTCGCCGGCCATGACCCCTGGCGGGGCCGGCGTGCGGCTCGGCTTTCAGAAAGCGCGCATCGTAGGCTTCAGATCCGGGGCGTGGACCACACCCGGGTGCACTTCCCCTTCTAGGTTGTGTGCTTCCTCTAGGGTCTCCTGCCGCGAACGCGCTCCAGGGAGGGCCAGTGGTGCCACCTGACTTCCTCGCTGACTGAAGATGAGAAGGAGGGTCTGTAGGCAGCAGACACCTGCCCAGGAAGGTGGCCAGGTCCGACAGTGCAGGGCAAAGCGGCCGTGAGCCAAGGCTGTGCCCAGGCCTCCATTTCCCTCCTGCGCCTGGACCCGACTTCCTGCGGGTTTGCCTCTTGGGTCGGGAGGCTTGCCCACGTCATCTGTGTCAGGGCCTGGCTGTTCAGGGGACTGCCACCTCCCTGCCCTGTCCAGCTCATCTCCACAGTAGGGACCTGGGTGTTGCCAGGACGAGCCTGGCTCAGAGAGGGGACACAGGGGCAGGAAGCCCAGCAAATGTCCTTCCTGTAGTCACTCAGCACCTGYCACCTGTCTCAGGCCCCTGTGCCAGGTGTGTGTGGGGGGTGGGGTCGCAGAGGCAGCCTGGGTGAGGTGGAGAGCGGGTGAAGACTGCATCCTCACCCAGTTCTGCTGTCCAGGCCCCATCCCTGCCATCACCCGGGCGCTCTCTCTGGGTCTACCTTCACTTGCCAGGGTAGGCAGGCTCCCTGTGTCCAGTCCTCTTTCTATCTCCCCCTGCCCTTCCAAGCTGGCCTTCCAGGACTCTGCCAGGCCAGAGAGGGAAGGTGAGCAGCTCTGCTGTCTGAAAGAATGTGGGGTTGGTCCCAGGGGGTGGTGGGGACATGCATTCACTTGATTGGGACATTTCTGAAACAGGGCTGCATGTGGAGAGTCGCAGTGTTGGGGACTGCAGCAGCCACTGTGGGCTTCAGCCTCCAGCTCCACCAGTGGTCACTGGTCCAGCCACCAGGGGAGCTCACCTCCATGAGTTTTATGTCTCTGTAAAATGGGGGGATGCCAACCTTATCCCTGGGGCTCCTCTGGGAGAAGGGAGCTGGTATGTGGAGTGCAGAGCCCGGGGCGAGGCTCACAGCGRCTCTCAACCCTTGCTGCTCTCACGAGGACACCCCGGGGAGGGTCAGTAGGCTCGGGGTGGGGAGAAGGAGGTGTGGGCCACCCTCAGGGTGCCCTGGGCTCCTCCTGGTGCTGGTCTGCCAGGCRGTGAGGAGCTGGCTCGCGGCTCTTCTGCGTCTGGCTGATGCTGTGCTGAGCCTGCAGGTGCTGGAGGCACACAGAGGCAGGAGCGGGGCTCCCTCCCTGGCCCGGGGTGCTCCCCATCCAGTGGTAGTCAGAGAGTACAGGTGGTGGCCAGAGGCTGAAGCTGGCCAGCAGAGTGGTTGGAGGACACAGCTGGCGCTTTATTCCATTTTGGATTAAGAACTGGAGGACTTCTGCCCTCTCCCTCCCTCTCCCTCTCTGTCTCTCTCACGCGTGTGCACACACACACACCTGGACCTCCCTTCTGGGTCTCAGTCCCTCTGGCCTCTCAGGTCAGTAGGCAGACAGGCCGCAGTCAGCAAGGTGTGAAGCCTGTTAGTGAGGCCCAAGCCTTCCTTACCTCTTTGGTCATTACCCATGTCCCACCATCCCTGTAGGCATGAGTTTCAGACTCCCAGCTATGGGCATCCATAACACCCTTGGTGCTGTGGCCACCCCTGCCTCATCCTGGCCAGAGTGGGTCCTCCTGACTCAGTTATGGTCAGAGTTTTCTTAGCAGGCATTATGTATAGGGCTGTGTCTGGAGGTCACTGAGGGCATGGTAGGGAGTGTCCTTGCTGCAGATCAGCCCTGGGGTGATTTCTAGTTGTTCCCTCTGCCTGACTCCCCTTGAGTGTCCRCCTCAACATCGCTCCATATCCCCCTTCTGGTTTTCCTGCGTGGCCTCTGGCCTGCTTTCCTAGAGTTCTGATTTTAGTAAACTTTCCACAACACATGRGCCCTGTGTCTGCTCATAACACTCCTGCTCATCCCTCAAAACCCAAATCTGGGTTTCTGATGCCCTCTTCCTTGGCCTTCGCAGGGATGGCTTCTCCCTCATCTCTCCCCACACTGAGCCCTGACCCTGTGCCTTGGTCCAGTTGCCCAACTGAGGCTCCCTGAAGTCCAGCTGAGATCTTGGGGCCTCTGTCTCCGCCCCTCTTTCTGTGCAGGGGAGCTGTGCCTAGACGCCTGGGAGTTGYTTAAAACGCTCTCAGGTCCTGGTTTGGTGGAGCAGGGCCCAGGAGTCTGCGTCTCAGGCTCCCCTGGAGGAGCCAGAGGCAGAGGCAAAAGTAGGAAAACCGTCCTGGGTGCTGCTCTGTGGGTGTACTGGCAGCAGGAGTGGGGCCAGGGGCTCAGAGTGTGCCATCGAGGAAGGGGCTCTGCCCAGATGGGTGCCCTGCTGTCGTTTCCAGCCCTTTCCAGAGGGCACCTGGTCCCTTCAACGGCGAGAGGGCTGTCTCAGTTCGGCTCGTCCATCCCAGTGCAGTCCAGCCTCTCTGGGGTCACCTGCCTAGGTGGGTGAGGCTGGATGGCCCACCTCTTTCGCATGTTTATTCTCTAGGCTCTGGGACCCTGTCTGGGAGGGCTCTACCAGACATGGGCTTCCGTCTGTCCACGTTGCTGGGCTCCACTAGGAGGCGCCTGAGACCAAGCCCGGAGCTCACACCTGGTGGGAAGGGCTGGGCRGGGTCCGCAGGCAGGGTCTCCAGGGCCTGGAGTGGTTTGTGGCATCTGGAGGTGAAGGTGCGGCCCAAAAGAGCGGGGGTGGGGCTGGGCTGGGGCCCCAGCAGCCCCTGCCCCCGCCTCTCTGTTCTGCTGCCCAGAGAGAGCAGGTGCCCAGCTGAACATGTGGGACAGGTGGCAGGGCTTGCAGAGATGGGAGAACAGCAGGGTAGAACACCAGCCAGAGGCCATGTCTCCATCTCAACGGCGCCGTCTGGAAGGGCCACTTGCCAGGCCATCTGCTGGTTGGTGGGGTGGCCTGTCCAGGCTGGTCAGGCGGAGAGTTGCTTCTGGGCAAGTGTGGAACCCCTTGGCCTGGCCTGGCTAGGTCTCCCCCAGGCCACTGTTGCTGTGTGAGGGACTGCAGCCCTTGGTGTCCCTTGGGCTCCTGGGACCCTCGGCTGTGGTCAGGGACTCCCTTGGCTTTCTTCTCCCTCGGGATGGCTTCTTGGAGGCTGTAGGAGGCAGACCAAGTCAGCAGGGGTGTGGCAGTTCCTTCGATGGCTTGTGTGTCCTCCCCCAAGGTGACAGTGACTCTCACTAGGGGTATTGAGTGCGGCCTCTGTGAAGCCAGCTGGTCCCCCTGTTCTGAACAGCCTTGGACTTCCAGACCTGCAAGTTCTGGTAGGAGGGGCTGCGACCCTTGAGCCTCCCTTGCTGCCCTGGGGAGGTCATGCTGGATAACCAGGAGCACATGGGTGAGGCTCTCTGTGTCCCGAGATGCTGGCCAAGTCCCTCTATGGGTCACCCCTTGTGCTGGGGCTGAGGCCAGAGGAGGGACTGGGCATGGCTCTGATGCAGGACACACTCAAGAGACCTGGCCCTGTGACCTCGGGCAACTCACCTGTCTTCTCTGGGCTTCAGCTTCCCTACCGTGAAAGCCGTGTGACCCAGAAGCAGTACCCACTCCCTGCCCTTCCCATGGACACAGGATGTGAGTGTTCTGTCCTGGTTGGGCTGTTGGTGCCCTGCCCTGCAGAGTGGGTGCCACACATGTGGAACGCATGGCACCTGGCAGCTGTGATGGGAGCTGTGGACTGTGCCCATGTGGACTGAGCCCCCTGCCCACCATCTCTCCCCTGGCCCAGCTGGGAGGGCAAGGGAACTGGAGAGTGGGAGGTGACACCCTGGGACCTTGGCAGTTGGCCCCTCAGCTGGGGCAGTTTTCACACGTACACAGCAACAGAGCAGGAAGGCCTGGAAATAAGGCAGGTGTGCTGGCCGCGGCTCGAGCAGACACCGGCCCGGTCGCCCTCCGGGCAACAACGGCGCATGGTGGTGGCCGCAGCCCAGCCTGCCGCGTCGCAGGCACTGCTTGGATAAACCTCAGGCTGCACAGCATCAGCTCAGTTGCTCGAACGCTCTGCATGTGCTCAGATCAGGAAGTGGGAGGCCGCCCTGGTACTCTGGACCCAGGGCTGAGGCCCCCCTGGCCTTCMCGGGAGGAGCGGCCCACAGGCCCCACCCTGGGCAAATAGTGGGCAGCCCCCGACTCTCCGGCGGGCGCCAACACCCATGCCCAGCGGGATGTGTCTGTCACTGYTGCCTGCTCCAAGGTGGACAAGTGTGTCCAGGGACACCTGGATTCTTGGGGGCTGCCTGGGGGCCAGGATGCCCATTCTTCTGGTGGTGAGGCTCTCCCCAGCTCTCTGCTCAGGCCTTCCACCTGTGTCCCRCTGAGACCCCACAGAGCTCTAGTGCCAGCCGCCTGGCAGGTGAGGAAACAGGCTTGGATGCACCGTGAGGAGGCAGTGTTGTCAGGCTCACCGAGGTCGGCCCTGGGTCTCTCCTCTTAGGGGCCTGTGCCTAGAGGCCCGGGACTCGTTTCTGGCTCCTAGGGATGCCACCTCTGAGCTCCAGGAGGAGCAACAGGGGAGATGACCCAGATGCAGTATCACTCCCTGCCCTTCCTCCTGCCCCTGGCGTGGTACCTTGGCCCTCCAGGTCCGAGGCCCGCTTCCTCTTCTGCTGCAGACCCTGCAGGCACTGCCCAGCACTGGCCTTGGAGCTCAGGCCCTGGGTGGAAGGGGACACTCAGCAAGGGACACCCCACTGCAGCCTGACAGTGCTGCTGCCGGGGCCCGCCCAGGCGTGTGACCAGGGACCCACCTCATTGTCTGAGGTGTCTGGCTCGTCCCGTTCATCTGATTCTGGCCTCTGTGCGGTGGCATTGCTGAGCTCTGAAGGACATAGGGTGCCAGTCAGCCAGGCTGGTGGCTCTGGGCGCCTCCTCAGCCTGTCTGACGAGGACAGGAAGAGAGCCCTGCAGTGAATGAGCACTGGAGGGGCCAGGCTACCTGCCCCAGGTACCTCCTGGTCAGAGGCAGCTGGAGGTCTGCTGCACCAGRACCTGCCTGCGGTGGTGCCCTCCCAGCTCGGCCTCCGCTGGCTTGGGGTTTGAACACCCCTCCTGCTGACCGGCTGAAGTGCCTGCCCAGGTTCAGCTCCCGTCTGGCTGCCCTAGACGGGTGCTGCCCGTGAGGCCCATGGGCTGACACTGAGCCTCCCCCCATGGGGGCCTCGTGTCCCCCTGGACTTTCAYGGCCCTGGGCGCTCACTGTACCTGGGGCTTCGTCGGTATCAGGCCTCTGTGGGTGGGGTGCTGGCCGTGACCTTCCTGTGGCCTCACCTCCTGCCCTGCCAGGAGAGGGCAGGCTGGGGTGGGGCCCTGGGGGAGGGTGTGCAGGGTCCTGGGGAGGCAGGTAAACGGCTTCAGTGTTTGGGGGCTTCCCTGCCCGCACTCAGCCCTGGACACAGCCCGCGGGACACCTGGGCTGTGGCTGGAGGCCAGCCCTTCTTTTTTCAGAATTAGGGAGGCAGCCAGGCTGCTCCTGGGCACTGCCTTGGCAGGTGGTGGAAAGAGGGCAGCCTAAGCAGTGTGGGTGCTTCAGCAGGGAACGTGGGGACCAAGGACAGGGGCTGAGCCTTGGCCAGCGTTGGGCCCCTTACCATGGGAGTAGGGGACTCTTTGGGCTCTGGTGCTCTGGTCTCCTTGGTGCCATTGCTGAGTGCCTGGGGGCTGCAGATCAGGGGTCCAGACAGGGTGGGTGGCTCTGGACTGGGAGTGTGGGCAACTGCAGGGCTGAATGGCCCAGGTTGACCAGTAGACTTGGGGGCGTCTCGGTCCCGACCCCGGTCTGAGAGGTCCAGGGGCTTGTCTGGGGCATAGTCCTGAGTGGCTGTGACCTCCTTGCTTCGAGGGCTGACTGGGCCTGTGGGCTCCGCTTGCCACCTGCCAGGCAGGTCTGCTGGGGCCAGAGCTGCTCCGGGCACCTCACTCTCAGGGATCTCAGAGTCCAAGCCAACTGGCGGGGAAGGAGGAGTCTCCTCTGGTGTGGCCGGGCCCCGCAGCCTGGTGCTGGCCGCCCGCTGTGCCCGCAGCTGCTGAGCCAGGAGTAGGTGCAGTGCGCCCTCCAGCCTTGGGTCCTGCATGCCCACCAGAGTGCCAGGCAGGCCCAGCAGGCCCACAGGCTCTTCCCAGGCCTCTGCCTCCCTGGCTTTCAGACCCTGGGGCTGGGGGCTGCTATGGGGGGTCCGCAGGGGCAGGGGCAAGTGGCGGTTCAGAAGGCAGAGGCGGTCAGCCTGAAGGGAGCGCTGCAGGGACTCGTAGGTCAAGGCAGAGGACTGGGAGGCCCGCAGGAAGCTGTGGGGGAAGAGGCCCAGTGACTACGACCATCGGTCAGCAGTGACTGGCCGAGTGAGCCCCCACAGGGCCCCCGTGTCAGAAAACGGAGGAGGCTTGGTGAGTAAACTGAGGCCCAGGGGTGAGGCAGGTTGCCCAGGGCAACAGGCACTGACCAGGCCCCAGCCCTGTCTCTGGAGGCTGAGCCCTGGAGAGGGTGTGGACCTGGCCAGAGGCGGCTGGGGCCTGCACACGGAGGCTCCCCTCTGTCCTGGCAGGAGTCTACCAGCGCCCTTGCCTGGAGKGCCCTGCCGCTCCTCTCCGCCCTCCAGGACGCTGCTCACTCTCTGACAGTGAGCCACGGGCTTGGTGCGGGCCCTTCTGCAGTGCTGCCCACCTCCAGCTCCTGTGCCTCCTGGAGAGGTACCTCGTGGCAGCTTTGCACCAGGACGGATGCCCAGAGGAACCAGAGAAGGACAGGGCTCTTGGAGGGATAATGAGGGCACTTCCTGGGCYGCTGCTCACTGCATAGGGTAGGTCCAGAATTTGGGAAAGGGAGCCACTCCTGGTGCTGGGGATGCCTCACCTGTCCAGGGGGAGGCTGTGCCTGTACGTTGGACTGGGTGGGTTGCTCCTGGCGGACAGCAGTGGGGGTGTTYCGTTGGCAGCGCCCCGCTCAGCTGGGCAGCTCTGGGACCCCGGGCGCACCACAGCAACCGTTGCGTGCAGCTGATTGGCGATGCACTGGGGGCTCTGCAGAGGGAAGAGGCGTCCATCGGGCCACATCACTGGGGCCCTGGCCTTGCCCTGTGTGAGTTTGGATCGTGCCCCACCTCGCCTCCTCCCTCACCCAGTGAAGCCCAGGGCCCTGCTGGCACTAGGGACAGGCATGCTCCGTGTGAGGCTGACACCCGGTTCCTGGTGCAGAGCAGAGCTGTGGCTACCAGCCTCCTGCTGGGGCTGACCCACTTACCATGTCTGGGGCCCGCGGCTCSGACAGGTTGGCCCCCGGGGAGATTCTGGCTACTGGAGATGTCCTGTAGCCCACCAACTTTTCTGTGGGAGAAGAAGCAGTGGCTCAGAGCTCGGGAGATGCCCAGGGGATGGTGGCTCAGCCCTGGGATGAGGGCTGCCCTGTCCATGGTGCCCACCTCCCAGCTCTCCCCAGYCCCACAGCACCTTCTCCCCGTGGACCCAGCTGGTCCTCAGCCTCCTCATGGCCTCCAGGAGGCTTCTCAGTGACAGCCTTCCAGCCACTGGGGGAGGGGAACAGCAGGGGTGACGGGGGGTCCGAGGTGTCCTCCTTGGCCAGGGGCATGGGCCTGTCTCTGGAGCAGAGGCAGAGACAGAGTGGTGAGGTGGGCAGAGCCCAGAGAGGGCAAGAAGCACCAGGGCTCCCTGCTGGTGCCAGTCACTTCAGGGGACACCCAGGTGACCCTGGAAGTGCAGCCCTCCCCTCAGGGTCTGATGTGTGGGGAGATGGGGACCTGGGCCTGGCACCCTCTCCCACTCACTGCAGGCTCTGAAGCCGCTTCACCTCCTCCTTCAGCATCTTGTTCTCCTCCTTCAGCCCRCTCATCTCCTTGGCTGCAAGAGGCAGTGATTAGCAGGCAGCTGGGGGGCAGCCAAGGGCAGCCCCCTTCTGTGTCTGGCTCCCAGTCAGTCCCCCCCGGGCCCCGGACCCGCCATACAGCAGGTGCACARAAGTGTGCCGCATGGGCAGATGGTGTGATGGTACTGAGGGAACTGTGCCAGCCTTGGGGTGTGGAAAAGTGACAAGACGGCCCTCCGCCTGTGTCTGGGGCTCCCTCCGAGAGAAGGGGGCTGCCTGTCAGTAGGACCAGTGGAACCTTCTGGGTCACCAGGAGAAGGCTGAGGCCCTGGGAGGCCCCTCAGCTCAGAGTGGGGTGCTCGCCTCTGTTCACCTGCCGGCTGGCTGCCTTTCCCCTTTCCCCACCACCCGTGTCCCTGGCCTGGCAAAGGGGACTTGGGCCCTGCCGGGCAGCAGGCTCACTGAGGACACAGATGCGCTGCAAGCTCTGTAGATGTGAGCTCTCGAATTCCAGCTGCTTCTTCCTAGCCAGCTCCTGGGTGACCACGCAGCGGTCGCACAGGCCAGCCCGCAGCCTGTGGGTGGGGACAAGAGGCCGCACTGAGAGGGGMCTAGGCCTCTTGCTGCCCTCCTCCTGGACATGCCCCTGCCTCGTCAACTCCCAGGCCTGTTTCCACCCGTGGGCTTGTGTCCCATGTCCAGTTGAATCTAGGAAGGAATCTTGTCGTTCACGTAAGGCTCCGAGAAGCCCTGTGGTGGGCCACCTGGCCTGTGGGCTGTCAGGCCCCCACCCAGTGCCCCGCGGGCCCCGCCCACCTGTTCTCCAGTACCCGCAGGTTCTCCTTCAGCGCCTTCTGCTGCTCCCTGAGCTGGTGGTTCTTGGTGAAAAGCTCCTCCACCCGCTGTGCATCCCTGCAGAATAGCGGCRGGTGGGTGGGTGTGGCCCGTAGAGAGGCCTCTCTGCAGGGGCCTGTCCTTCAAGTGGGCCCTGCAAGGTGAGGTCTAGCCCTGCTGTCATGTCCCCTGCCAACCTCTGGCTGGTCCACCTGCTACCTGCTCAGCTATGGCACATGTARACCAAAGCCCAGTTAGAGACGGCCATGGAGAGCCAGGCCTGTGTGCCAGCCTGTGTGCCACCCGCGAGAAAAGGCTATGGCCTTGCGATGATCCCCTGGGCCCTGGGGAGAGGGCCTTGCCCAGCTGCCTCAGGGCCCGTCCCTGGTCCAGTCCGGCTCCACCACCTACGTGCCGGGTGACCTTGGTCAAGTGGCTTCCCCAACCCCATGCTGAGCCTGTTTCCCTTCTGCACTGAGGAGGGTGGCAGTGCTGGCGCCCTGGGCTCGGGTCCTGCAGCAGGTGGCCGCCTTACCCTCTGCCCAGCGGGCTGACTCACCGGCAGCGCTCCGCATTCAGCTCCAGAAGCTTGCTCTGCAGTCCTGGCCGGGCGGGCAGAGACGGGAGCAGGTCAGGCGCAGCCCTGCTGCCCCCTTGCAGAGGAGGGGTCTGGGCAGAGTGTCCAGTTGGCTCCTCCTGTCCTGATTGTCATGCGGGCCCTCTCCTGAACCCTGCCCCCTGCCTGGAGCAGCTCCTGGAGCAGCGCCCTGTCTGCACCCACTGCTGGGGCTGCCTGAGGCCTGTTCTGGGCCCAGCTTCTCCTCTGCCCCTGGGACTGTGGCTCTGGTGTCCGTCTGGGGATTAGAGGGACCCCAGGGCTGGACGTGGCTGGCTACCTGGCAGAGGCAGAGGCCAAGAGGGGCTGTTTTTTTTTGGGGCTGTTAATGTGAAATTAGCAGGCTTTTGGGGAAGACCCAACCTTGTCACTATATCTCTGTGATCCAGTGTGGGTCCAGCCAGCCTGGGGCTGGGGATGGGTCTTGCCTAGGCAGCCCCACTTCTCCCAGGTGCTCAGAAAGCAGCCAGCCCCTTTGGCCTACCGTGGCTGTGAGCGCTGCATGAGAGGGAGTCTCAGGGAGTGGCTGACCTGGAACTGTGGTGGGGTGGGCAGAGGGGCTGCAGCCTGGCCGGCGGAGGGATTGGATGGAAGCGTGGGGTATGGGACATGCCCTGGAGGGAAAGAACTTCTGCTCAGTGTCCTGAGCAAGCCCTGGAGCCACGTGCTCTGACCCTGGAAGTGGAGGACCCTCTGGGAGAACATGGCATGGACACACACAAGACTGGGCGCGGCAGGAGGCCGTGAGGTGTTGGTTGTGACCCCTGAATGTGTGCCTCTCCTGGGGCCACATTCTGAGGACACCCTGTGTGACTCTGGCCCAGGTGGCTTGGCAGCTAAGACTCCACTTCTTGGGCCAGAGAGATGGGACCCCCAGATTTGCTCACAATTGGAGGTGGTGCCTGGAGCCAGCCCCTGGACTGCACTGCCCCTCAGGACCATTTGCCCAGATGAGGGCAGCGGGGCCCCTCGGTGCCCAGCCACTTACCCAGGACCTCCTTCTCATGGACGTCCTTCAGCCTGTTCAGCGACTCTGTGAAGCTCTCCATGGCTCCCAAGCCCTGGTCACTGTGTGCCGGGCATGTGGGGGTGACCGTGGCTGTGAGCGCCCTCTGTCTCCAGTCTGCAGAGGAGGGGGTGGGGAGAGGGGCTGCTGGAGGAAGGGCCTGTGTGTTGCACCTGCAGCACCTACGGGGTGCCAGGGGACCCTGACCCCACGTCAGGTGAAGAGTGTGCWGCTGGAGGCCAGAGGGCTCTCACCCTAGGGGCACCAGTCCCCCTGAGCGGCCCTGTACTCCCAACAGTGTCCAGTCACCAGGCCTGGCATGGTTTCTACTCGTAAGCCCTGCCTAGAGCAGAGAGGCCACACTAACCAGCTGGGCCAGCCCACCGTGTCCTGCTGTCCACCAGGCCCCTAAACCTTTCCTCACCCCCAGTGCCACAGCCTGACAGGGCAGGCAGCCTACATGCAGATGCGCACACAATGAGTGACACACATGCATATTGTGTGCATGTACAGATGGATGTGCACACGCACAGTCATATAGATACACACGTGCATGCACACACACGTCAACATGCAGACACACGTGACTGCACGTGTAATATGGGCTCACAGCGCCCATGCACACAGACACAGCAGCCCTCATGCCGAGAGCCCTCTGCAGAGGGGCCTCTGACCACTGGCTCCCTCCCTGCTGTCTGYCTCCCTCCCTCACAGGTCCCAGGAGAGCTCAGTTGGGCAGTGGGCCCTCTGGACCTACAGCTTGAGACCAGGTCAAAGGATGTGGGGTTCTCACTGGCTGGGTCCACAGTCCTGGGGTCACAGCACACTTGTCCTCAGGCCATTCTGGGACTTTCCAAGTTCCCAGAGGCCTGAATAGCTCACAGGTGGCAGGAGAAGTGAGCTTAGGGGTTGGCCACCACCCCTGCCCAGAGATTTCTCCCAGGCCTGGGAGGCTGGGTCACAGGTTGGGGGGCTGGGCCAGGCCTGGCCTGCAGTGTCCTTRGGAGCTTAGTATGCTGGGTGTTTGCTGCACAGAGAGACCTTCTGGGGACTGCCGGGGGCCTGTCCTGAGGCTGCCACCGCTGAGCGGCTGCAGAGACCTCTGTGCAGGGCGGGTCTGGTCACAGTCCTTGGTGGGGCCCTGTGCTGTGTGGATTGGGGGTGTCTCAGGTCCCAGCACTTCTCCTGAGTGGCGCCTTGGGCCCTGGTTTGACACAACCTCCTGTAGCTGGGGCGGAGCCAGGCGGCCACCATGGGGCTGGGGCTGCTTGCGGCCAATTGTTTGGAGAAGGGGACCAGGCCTTGAGCGTTGGCTCCCTCTCCAAGCCTCACCAGGAGCAGCATAGGGCCTGTCCTAGACACTGAGCCGAGCCCTGCCTCCAAACCGGGGAGGCGTCCCCTCCTGGTCTTTGGTCCAGGGAAACTGGGAACCCTCCTGGAACTGGGGTCTCCTGGCTTGTCAGCCCTGGAGTCTCCCTGGTCTGTCTGCAGTAACCGTGGGCTTTGCCTTCTGTATAGACCCAGAGTCTCACCACCTTGCCATCTCTGCCATGGCCGCTCATGCCCAGGCCTCCCCTGGTGCATAGGCCTTTGGCCTCCCTGGCTCCCTGTTGCCCATCTGCAGGACACAAGGTCCCTTCGCCATGGGGCTACAGGGCCTCCATGTCTGCAAATCTCCATTCTTTGCTCAACCTGCATGTGGGCCTGTGATACCTGCTATTCCAAGGCCTCGCCATGGCAAGTGAGCCACAGAGGACAGAGGACAGTCTTGCCTGCACCTCAAAGACTTCCTAAAGACACCTACACACTTGTTCAAAGCAGCAAGGAGCATGAGAGCCTGGGGTGGCTCTGTGTCTGGAGGGTGAGTCCTCTGGGAATGGGGAATGGGAACCAGAGCTCGCCTGATAAGGGATGTCCTTGTAGGTTGAAGTGACACACAGGATGCTGGGGTCCAGAGGCCAAGCGGAGACCGGGGCTCAGGTCACATGGTTACCCAGCRGCTTTCCCAGAGTGCCATACATGCTGTTACCCTCCCACAGCCATCTCTCTCCAGTGGGGAAACTGAGGCTCAAAGAGGYCACCTTCCTGCCGTGCTCAACGGGGCAGTGGGAGCTGGCCTTGAACTTGCTCGGGGCTGCGTGTCCCACTCATTCGCACTGCATCAGCCTGGGACATTTCCCAGGGAGCTGTGAGCCTTGCTGTGCAGACCTAACYTCGATGAGGGTCCTGGGAGGTGAGACGGGGCTGGGTCTCTGGCTTAGGCCGCTGGGAGGCCAGGCTCAGCAGGCAGGAGGGCAGAGCTGCAGCACCTGAAATTCCACCCCGACTTGCCCGGCTCACCCAGCCCTGCTCTTTGCTGGCCTCCAGTGCCTGCCTGTGGGCTGGGCTGACGCCCACAAGGGAGCCACCCCAGGGAGCCTGTGGTGCCCATGGGTCCACATGAGACGGGAACTGTCCCCAGTGAAATCATGGTGCACAGAGGCAGGCTGGCAGGCCTGGGCCCCTCCTCCCAGGGCTCTCCTCTGGGCTCTGCCTGGCTGTTCTTAGAGACCCAGAGGGTGGCAGATGCTCTCCTGCACACTGGGTGGGGCAGTGGGCCCAGGCAGAGCCCACCAGCCTCTGGGTGATAGTGCCCTTCCCTGGTGGTGGSTGGCAGAGCCAGCCTCCTGGGCTTCTGTCACCTTCAGTGTGGCCTGGTCCCCAGCATTCACTCTCCTGGAGTGTTGGGGGTGGGCAGGGTGGGCAGGGTGGGCCCCCACCTGGGGTGAAGTCTGTCAGCTTTGGTGCTTTGGGGCAGTAGTGGGCGGCATGAGTGGCATGAACTCAGGCTGTGGACACACGGGCCACACCCAGCAGCCTGTGCCAGGGCCAGCCAGGAGGCCCCCCAGGAGGCCTGGCCTGTGTTCTGGGCTTGCTGAGGGTGGCCGGGAGTGCAGGGAACTCTGAAGCGGGGTGGGGTCTGCCCAGGWGCCAAGGCTGGGGCGGGAGCTTCAGGAGGTAGCGCCTGCAGGCCCAGGGTCGGGTCGCTGCCTCTGAACCTGGGGGCTGTGCCCTGGGGAGSGGGAGGGCAAGCTTGGGGGGGCTGTGCAGGGCAGGATGGATGGGGTGGGTGGAGATCTGGGTTCTGGGCCTGAGGGCCCCCAGGCAGGCCTAGAATCCTCCGTCCCTCTCACTCCGATCTCCAGCTGGAAGGTGTTGCAGGACCTGGGCCTCCCTGGAGGAGCAGATGAGGGTCAGGGTGATGGGCAGCTCTGACCTACCTGCTGAGGGAGGCTGGGCCTGGGGGGCAGGTGCAAAGGGGGTCCTGCCGCCAGCTCCTCAGACCCTGCCAGGCCTTGCTCTCGGCCCCCCTGAGGGGGGTTTCACTAGTCAAAGCTGGCAACAGGCGAGGCTGGACCTCAGCTGGTGGGGGTCTGCGCCCGTGCCTGGCAGTGTGCTCGTCCTACCAGCACTGAGCAGAGCTCGTCAGACAACGGAACCGCTCCCCACAYGGGGCCCAGGACGGCCCTCCACCGTGAGCCTCAGTGCTGGGAGCCACGGTCCTCCACATGCCCATCAGGGAGGGCACACACTGCAGGCCTGCCTGTCTCCCAGGACCCCACTGAGGCTCAGGTACCACTATCCCTCAGGTCCCCCACCTGCCCCTCGGGGTCCCTGGAGTGGCTGATCAGAGGAGGTTGGGCCAAAGTCTCAGTGCCCCAGAGCAGAGGGCCACCACCCCAGCCTGGCGTCTGTCTGGACAGAGCTGAAGGCAGGGGGTTGGTTGTGTCTCCCATGTGGCCTGGCACTGTGCCTCTCTGAGCCTCTGTCTCCTTCTCTGGATGGAGGATTGGCCCACTCACATCAGGCTGTGGGGCTCTCCCCAGCCTCCCTCCCGTGCTCAGGTAGTGCAGAGCCAGGCAGGGTGTGCAGAGTGCCTGGCAGAGGGACCCGACAGTGCCTCCCTCACAGAGAGACCCCGGGGCTGGTGGTGCAGCCTACAAAAGCCTCTCCTCAAGTGACCAGTTCAAGTCCCACGCCCCAAAAGACCCTCAGGAGGGCCAGCCCTTCCCAAGCCCAGGCAGGGCCTGGGTTCCACCATGACTCCACATAGCTGCTCACTGGGGACAAGGCCACATCTCTCAGTGGCCACTCCCAGGGGAGGTGTCATCTATCCCTCACACCAATGACGTTGCCATGTTCCCAACAGAATAGGCACCCTCTGGGCCCATGGCAAAGCCCACGGAGGTGCCCACTGGTGTCCTGCCCCTGGCTAGTGTCCAGCCTGAGTCCTGCCTTCAAGGCAGATGGGCCCYAGGATCCTCAGGCTGCCCCAGGGAGCATGTGGGGCCTGTCCCTCAAGGGAGCTGACCCAGAGGAGCTGCTGGGCACCGTGGCCACGCACGTCTGCCCAGGCTGGTGCCCTCCCTGGCCTTCGTCCCCCTAAGTCCCCTGGGAGGAGAGCTGGGACCCTGACTCTGCTCCCTTCTGAGGAGGGGCCATCTGACTATCCACCTGTCTACAAAAATAGTGATGGTGGCCAGCAGCATGGCGGCCACCCTGCTCCTCGMACACACCAGGGTTGTCTTCTGGCTCTGGGGAGTTTCCTGAGGAGGCTRAGCTCCGAGCTGTGGCCTGGCCACCACCTGCATCTCGACACTCTGTCCAAGTGACTCCCCCGCCCCCACTCGCCTCCTGTCTGCTGCCACCCTGGGCCAGGCACACCATCAGAGCACACTAAATGTCTGCAGCACGAGAGCTTATGGAGCACCTACTGTGTGCTCAAGCCCAGCACACGCATGTGGTCAGAGCCCGCGTGGCCAAGGAGGTGCTGACTGGGCCGCTGCACAGATTCGAACACTGAGKTGCAGAGCAGCTGAGTGGCAGTGCAGGATTTGAATCTGGGCCCGGCTGGCCCCGACTTTCCTCCAGCCTCTGTGGGTGGGGGCTGTGCAGTGCAGGGCAGAGCCCGCCATGGTGACCTTGGCCAAGTCATTTGCTGGGGGCTGGTGGGRATGTGCCACCTTGGGCTGTCAAAGCTCCTGGCCGATCAAGTGACGGGGG